AGGACCTGACTCGGCTTCCCGGACCATTGATCCAGGTAACCTAGTAAGATGATTAAAAACATAATTAGGTGTGATTCTGTAGGCGTGCTGACATTTTTATGGTAGTGGAGCAATCCCTCTTGAATGTGGAGGTTAACGTGTTGAAGGTGATTTCCTCATGAGAATCTGAAGGGCTGTCAGAATTGGACAGTGTCTCAACAATGGAGTGCCGAGTAAGAAGGGCCATTCCTAAGTTCCAACCAATGCACCCGGAGGGGTTTCCCATCTTTGAGGCACGTAATGGTCTTTCTGCTCAGAATTTTTTTCAATACATGCCTTGAATAGCACCTCCATGTTGAGGCACCCTCACAGTTATTGACCTGTCTCAGTGGCATCCACCTCTCCCAAAGGAGCTTCCAAGAGTGTAGATTTGCTGTTCTGTGATTCGGCTAGCAGCCTCAAAACCATGCCCACTGTCTTTAATAGCATAAAGAACATGGAGGTGGTCCATTAGGAAGCTGCCTTTGGGAAGATTGCACTGTTGGGTGCCCTGCCAGTAAGTGCAGCCAGTGAACACTGTTCCGTTCTAATGTCAGAGATCCAAAGTTCTTGGGAAATCAGCCCAGTGTTCCTGATCTGTGACCTGTTATCAAAATCATGATATCTTTTGAAGCAAGCTAACTCTTTAGAAAAGACAATCAAATCACAGGCTAGCTCTTTCATGAAGTATCCAAACTGACTTTTGACCCATTAAGGTTTCTGAGGTTTATGCTGGGAATAAACCTTCATTTCAGCTTATTGTGCTTGACCCATCATAACTTATCTGAACCTCAACTCTATTTTTCCAATCCCTCATGCACCTTGTTATCCTAACCAAATATTTGATGATCACATCATTGGTTCTTTTATGTCCTCCTAAATAAGACAGATTGAATGCCAGTTTAACATCTCTGTTGTAAAATGGTACTTCTGATAATACAACATTATTTCTCTCCTGGGAAATAGAACATTGTTGGAAAGACTGGGGTTCATTGCCTGTTACTGCTGATACAATCAGTAGGTGGGTAGAAGTCCTCTTTATAGGGCTACCATGAGCCAACCAAGATTGTTGGTCAGACTCCATAGGAAATTATTTTTTCCTCCCTGGAGCATAATAGTGAACCAGTTAGGTTTTTATAAGAAATGCTTTTAGTGATGGCTTTTATTTTCTTTTTGAATGGGCACTCTTTTGTACTGAAACTTACCACAACCTGGCTAATTGTAATTTTTGGCAAGTTTCATGGAAGCTTTCTCTCCATGAAGCGTGATGGGTTTTCTTGCACTATCTTCCCAAACTCACCTTATTCCCTATGGCATCTTGTTCATGCTATTCTCCCACTCACCCCAAGTGGAAATATTTACCACAGCTCGGACATCCTCAGATTCCTGACACTAGTACCATATTTAAAAGATCATTGAGCACCTAGCCAAGCAGACTCAGTCCAGAGGAGCCATGTCATTTGCCCTTGACATGGCAGTCAAAGGAAAGTTGATTCCTGGCTATGTGGACATGAGGCCATGAAACACAACCTTGCCAATCAGGCCATTGGGGTTTCCATGGTATGGAGAAATGCTGAGCACTGTAGGACAAAGGCCGATTACTTCCTTCACTCTGCCAGGGTAAGTGCCACCAGCTTCTCTGTACAAAGTCACACTCATTCTATTTCTGCTACGACACACACCTTCCACCAAAACTGATGGTTTATCATTCTCAATTCCCACTGTTATCCCCACCACCAATACTACTAACCCGACATGGTCTCTGGCCTTGACTCACTCACCCAGGCCACCTTGCCACATTTCCCCACCTGCAGCAGCACTAGCAGTTGTGCCAGCCAATCCTTCTGTTTGTTTCATTCCAGGAAAAGTCAGCCACAATAGAGTGAAGTGAGCCAAGACGGTTCGTGAAGTGAGTTGGGAGATGATGTAATTGTTTTTCCTCTGTCTGCAGAAGAAAGAAGTATATTGAGTTTACAGAGATGTATTGATAGGTTAAGAAAGTGGGCAAAATGTTGGCAAATGATATTTAATGTGAGAAAATGTGAAGTTGTTTATTTGCAAGGGAGAACAGAGTATCATTTAATTAGAGAAAAAACTGGAGAAAGCTGCCACATAAAGGACCTTGGGGTACTTGTACATGAAACACAGAAAGCTAACACATAGGTGCAGCAGGTAATCAAGATGTTGGCCCTTATTTTAATTGGGTTCGAATATAAGAGTAGGGAAATCTTACTGCAAGTGTACAAGGTGCTGGTGAGACCACATTTGGAGTATTGTGAGCAGTTTTGGTGCCCTTATTTAAGGGAAGATATTATTTCATTGGAGACAGTTTCAGAGAAGATTCACTAGGATGATCACAGAGGAATTGCCTTATGAACAAAAGCTAAACAGGTTGGGAATTTAGAAGAATGAGGAGTTATCTCACTGAAGCATATAGGATTCTTGAGGGGCTTGACAGCGTAAATACTGAGAGGATGTTTCCCCTCATGGGAGAGCCCAGGACCAAAGGGCATATTTCCCGAATAAAGGGCCTCCAATTTAAGACTGAGATGAGTGCGAATTTCTTCTCTTAGAAGGTTGAGTGTCTTTGGAACTCCTTACCATAGAGAGCTATGGAGGTAGAGTCATTGTGTATATTTAAGGCTGAAATAAATAGATTCTTAATCAGTAGGGAATCAAGGGTTACAGAGAAAAAGCTGGAAAGTTGACAGAGGAATGTCAGATCAACCATAATCCTATTGAATGGCAGAACAGCCTCGTGGGGCTAAACAACCTACTCTGGTTCCTATCTCTTATGGTCTTATGATCTAAAGCCTGAAGAAATCTAGTATATTTTCCCTTGCCAGCTCCTGTAAGTTCTTGTTTTAACTAATAACTCAGAGGCTTTATAAGTTGTGAAGTAGCTGTTCTGTGCCTCCTGCAAGCAGGTAAAATTACCTGGAACAACAGCATAAAAAATAGGAGAAGGAGTATGACATTAAGCCCCTCAAGTCTGCCCTGTCATTCAATAAGTTCATTGTTGACCTGCCTCAGGCCGCACCTCTTTCTTGCCAGCTTATCATAATCCATCAATTCTCTGATAGTTCAAACATCTATCTGCCTCCTCTTTAAATACTTTCAGTGATCTGTCCTCCACAACTCTCTGGATGGAGAATACCAGACATTCAATATATTCTGGGAGAAGAAATTCCATCATACCTTGGTTTTAAATGAGTGTCCTCTTATTCTGTGAACTATGTCCCCTAGTTCAAAACTGCGCACCCAACCCCCAGTAGAAACATTTCCCTGTATCTTTTATGGTTTCTATCGTATGTTTCAACAAGATCACCTCTCATTTTTCTAAACTCTGATGTATAAAGGCCTAATCTGTTTAGCCATTCTTGATAAGTCAATCTGTTACTCTCAGGAATTAGCCTGGTGAATCTCTTTTGAATAGCATTGAATGCCAGTATATGCTTTTCAAAACAAAACTGTACACAGTATTTCACTAGCGACCTCAGCAATGCTCTGTATAGTTGGAAAAGAGAGATCAGCAAACAGCAAGTTGTGGCAAGCCAAAAGGATCATCTCAGCAAACCCTGTCTGCAGGGACCATTGAATCATCTAAATGGCAGAAGTTAGGAGCATAATGGAATACTCTCTGTTCCTTGGATGATTACAGCTCAAACACATGGAGGAAGCGTGACACCATCAAGGACAAAACAGCTTGCTTCATTGGCAACAAATTAATATTCACTTTCTCCATCACTTGCAGTGTGTGTCATCTACAAGATGCACTGCAGAAATTCATATCGGCTTCTTTGATAGTACCTTCCAAAGCCAAGACAACTACAGTCTAAAAGGACAAGGGCGACAAATAAATGAAAACACCACAACCAACCTACATGGTTGACTCCAAGCCACTCACCATCCTGACTTGAAAATATACCACTATTCCTACATGGAACTCTCTCTCTAACAGCATTATGTGTACCTACAACAGACTGAATGGTTCAAGAAGGTAGCTCTCTACCACCTTGTCAGGGTAACTAGGAATGGGCAATAAATGCTGACCCAGCCAGAAATGCTGACTTCCCATGAATGGGTAAAAAAAAACAAACCTTGAATTAACATTTTCTTTTTTACTAACCTTGCTGGGAGGTAAATAGTATCATCAGCCAGCATTTCCAAGGCCACTGGCTCTAATGTGGGACAGGCTCCGCCCACTACTGCTTTGGAAATAACACTGCATTGAAATGTGGTGGAAGAGAAAGAACGAAGACCTGAGGTCGCACAGATGACACTGGTGACACTTCATTGTTAATATGTTCTCACATTTGTTAATATATGTTCACTCTTCATTATCATTTGTGTTTGTAGATATCTGTCATGCTGCAACTTCAACATTTAAAGTACAGAGCTGAGCCATCCTGAGTGCTACACCAGGTTTCCTGATGAGAGACAGTAGGAACTGCCGATGCTAGAGTCTGAGATAACAAGGTGTGGAGCTGGATGAAGACGGCAGGCCAGGCAGCATCGGAGAAGCAAGAAAGCTGACATTTTGGGTCTGGACCCTTCTTCAGAAAAAGGGTTCTGAAGAAGAGTCCAGACCCGAAACGTCAGCTTTCCTGCTGTTCTGATGCTGCCTGGCCTGCTGTGTTCATCCAGCTCCACACCTTGTTATACCAGGTTTTCTGATCCAAGGTGTCCAACATGTGCATGTTGTTGGAACTTGGGAGGAGTGTGACTTTTTGTCAGCTAGGGTGAATCTTTGCAGGTCATTTACTTGTGCATCACAGCCATTACTGACATTGCTTTGTGATGCTGCATAATGTGATCAGGAGCACTTGGGTCAAAGATTTGGACACCACATAGTAGGTTAATACCTACATGGCATGTAGTGCTTGCAGGTGTATTTTAGCTATACTGTATGATTGTCTGTGTAATGCTGTTTCCCTTTGTCACCGGACCCGAAATGTTGACTCTAATATTTTTCTTTACAGATGCTGCCAGATCTACTGAGCTTTTCCAGCAACTTCTGTTTTTGTTCCTGATTTCTATTAAATCAGTTTTGGAGACCTAGCTTTCAAGTGAATGGGTTTTGTGCACCACCATTGAACTTTTAGAATCCCTACTGTGTGGAAACAGGCCATTTGGCCCAACAAGTCCACACCGACCCTCTGAACAGCATCCTACACAGACCTATCCCTGCACCCTTTCCCTGTAACCCTGCAATTACAATGGCTAACACACCTAATCTACACATCCCTGAACACTATAGGCAATTTAGCATGGCCAATCCACCTAGCCAGCACATCTTTGGACTGTGGGAGGAACCCAGAGCACCTGAAGGAAACCCACGCAGACATGGGGAGAATGTGCAGACTCCACACAGACAGTCGCCGAAGGATGGAATTGAACCCTGGCCACTGATGCTGTGATACAGCAGTGGTAACCGATGAGCCACTGTGCTGCCGTTTATTTTGAACTGTTTTGCAATCCAGCAACATAAACAATGAAGTCTCTGAACTTCTTACAGACTTTTAGAATTTATTTTCTTTCAGATCAAAGGAAATATCTATAGTTTAGAGAGGAGACTTCAGGGATTTCAGTTTTACTTTCAATGAGGGACTCTGTGATGTCCCTTGAATAGGATGGCTGTACGGATCTGTGATCCTGACGAAGGAAGAATACATTGTGAACTAGGTTACCTCAGAGTGAGGGGTTGGTGTTAGTCTCAGACCAGAACAAACCCTGAAGTGGTTACCTAAAGCTGTGTATTAAAACTCAAATGTGTGAAAGCTCCAAAAAGAAGCTATCTGCTGCTCCAATCTAAAAGCTGAAATCACAAGTGACTTAAATCTGTAGAGGTGTTTGATATAGGGACACTGGTGTGAATATTATATGAATGGTGTTTTGGTACTGTAAAAGAACTGTTTTGTTTTACTACAATTTATGAAGGAGTGTTTTTGGATGAATAAGATTTTACTTCTACTTTGTTTTTTTAAATTTTTGATATTGTATGTTCAGACAGTTTGGTTTTCCTATTTTATCCTGGTTTTTTTTGTAGTAAATTTTTGTCTACTGTTCTTCCAAAACCTGCAGTGTGACACCACTTTGTTAAAACGAAAGCTTTCTTTGAGAATTTTCATCCCCAAACAACAATTAATGCTGGATAAATGAAAAATCCAAAATCTGAAGATTGATAGTTTTTTCTTCGTATTTCCAAGATATTAAGATTAATAAGCAGAGGAGCTAGAAAGGGCTCACAGCATCCATGATCTCACTAAATGGCAGAGCCAGATTTAGAGCCTAAATAGCCTCCTTCTGTTTCTCTACTCATCTGAGAGAGTATTTGAGATTTCAGTCTCACTCGAATGACAGTACCTTTTGCAGTGCGACCCTCCCTTGGAACTGTATAGGAGAATAAGCCTGAATTTCTGTATTCAAATTTCTGTTGTCGGACTTAAGCCAACCTTCAGACGCAATGGCAAGAATGATAGCCAGTGAGCCACGGTCTGTGACTTTATGGTGACATGGGACTCTATTTTAAATACACATTCCCTTCCAGTGAGTGAAGCTTCTCAACAGGTGTATGAAGTCATAAGTCTTTCTTTTCAGTTTTTGGCCACATTTTGGGCAAAATGTTTAAATTAATGGAATTTGAAGCTAAACGGCTAAAGTTAAGACTGAAGAGATAAGGGACCTCGTACAACTAAAAAGGGCTTACAAAAATGAAAAAGAAAAACGCAGATCCTGCTAAATGGGAAAGATACAAAGACTAGCAAAGGGCCACAAAGATGCTTCTAAGAGCCACTAAAAGAGATTATGAAAGGAAGCTTGCCAGGGACATCAAACTCAATAAATAGAAATTTTATAGTTGGTAGTCAGGACCAATGTTGGCCCACTAAAAACTGAAAGTGGGGATGTTGTCAAATACTGCAGGGAAATGGCAGACATGCTGAATAATTACTTATCCTCTTTTTCTACTGTAAATACTGAGGCAATCTTGCCAGAAATCCCGAGGAAATTAGTACTGGATTGAGAACAGGGACAGAATAAAATTAACCTAAGTAAACCACCAATAATGAGGAAATTAAATGGAATTAAACAGTGACAAATCCCTGGGACCTGACGGTTTGCATCTGAGGATGTTAAAGTAAAGAGCGGGCATGTGTAGACGTGCTAACTTCCCCAGATAAAGGAGTCGTTCCTTTGGAATGGAAAGTTGTACATGTCACTCCACTTTTTGAGAAGTGTGAAAGAGGAAAAACAAGGAATTACAGACCAGTTAGCCTAACATCTCTGGTGGGGAAATTGTTGAAGAATCAAGAATGGGAAACTGAACACCTTGTAAATTTTCGGTCAATCAGGTAAAGCCAACATGACAGGTCGGTCATATGTGATAAATGTTATCAAATGTTTTGAAGAGGTGACTAAGGTAGTGGACAGGAGAATGTCTAAGGACTTCCAGAGTTATTTGATAAAGTCTCACATCAGAGACTGTTAACTAAGCTAGAAGTCCACAGAATTGAGGGCAAATTACTGACATGGCTGCGAAATTGGTTGTGTGGCAGGCAACAGAAGGTAGGAAGAATGGGTAGGTATTCAAATTGACAGGATGTGATCAGTGGTGTCCCACAGTGATCTGTGTTAAGGCTTCAATTATTCACATTACTTCTAATGACTTGGATAATGGCATAGAAAGCCATATCCAAATTAGCTGATGGCACAAAGTCAGGCGTCATTGGGGACAGTGTAGGTGATAGTCTATTCATATCCCTTTGTAATTTTACACTAAGTGAATGGACAAAACTGTGGCAGATCGAGTTCAATGCAAGCAAGTGAGAGGCTATCCATTTTGGACTGAAAAGGGATTGATCAGGATACTTTCCAAGTGGGATGAAGTTAAATACAATGCATGTCCAAAGAGACTTGGGGGTTCAGGTGTACAGATCTTCAAAGTGTCAAAAACAGATGCAAAAAATAATCAAGAAAGCTAATGGAATGTTGGCCTTTATATCTGGAGGACTGGAGTACAGTATGCAGAAGTTATGCTGCAGTTATATAAAACCCTGGTTAAACCCCACTTGAAGTACTATGAGCAGATCTGGTCACAACACCTTAGGAAGGATATGTTTGCCTTGGAGAGAGTACAACATATTCTTACGAGAATGATACCTGGACTTCAAGTTATGAGGAAAAATTATACGAATTCAACCTGATTACTGAGGTGTGATTTGATCATAGTCTTCAAGATATTCACAGGAAAAGACAGGATAGATAAAGATAAACTATTTCCATGTTGTAGATTCGAGAACTAGGGGACATTGTCTGAGAATTAGAGAGCACCATTCAGGAGAGATGTTAAGAAGCACTTCTCCTCACAAAGAGAGCTAGATGTTTAGACCTCTTTTCCACAAATGGCTGCTTTAGTTGTTAATGTTAAATCTGAGATAGACAAATGTTTGTTCAGCAAACATAAGAATAGATAAGAGCCAAAGGTAGGTATCTCAGGTTAGACCACAGATTGATCAGTCATGATTTGATTGAATGATGGAAAAGGCTCGAGGGGCTGAATGTCCTACTCCTGTGCCTGTATTCCCTTGTACCACCAGATGGCGGTACCGTGCTTACCCATCTATCAGCACACCAAATTGAAGTGAACCACTAGATGGAGCTGTAAGGCCTTACCATCCTTCCTTGCCATTCTCAGTGAGTGAAAGATTTTTTAAAAACTAATTTTATTTAACAAAATAAAAGTATACACAATGGCTGTGCCCAAATTTCATTCACCCCTGTAATTGCACCATGGTTTGCTTTACTCCCTCTATGGCTTTGATGCAACTGTGTGACTCAATTTTCTGTCATCTGCCTTGTCCCTTATTTGATCTCAAGCCTGTTGTACATTTGATTCCCCTCAGAACCTTACTGCTAACCATCCAGTGGGACTCGCTAGTGTGTGGGTTCTGGATTACTAGTTCAGTGATATAGTCACTACACAATTCACTGTATAGAAAACACAAAGATACCTTAAAGCCCATTCAGTGGATTTAAATCACCTCAAGTACATATTCCCTTATAAAAACAAACATGTCATCATAAATGCCACATTAAAGACAGTTATTTTTTGACAAACCTCTCTGAGCTGTCAATCAAACTATGATTCACACAGCTGCACCCACCCCCATACTCCCAACAATAATGGTAGATTGTAGAAAGCAGACAACCATTAATACTGTTGTAATGATAACAACTTAGGGTTATGTCAGTAAATAGTCAAATAAACTACTGAAATCAACTCCTAGTGGCACAAGCATCTATTAATAATTTTTAAAGGGCTGGCCATTTAAGTAACTTTTATATATTGAGAATTCTACAGAGCCTATTCACCCTTTATTAGCATTTACAACTTTGCTAAAGATTTGTAACTCCAACACTGCAGGTTAAGATCCTTTCTGCAGTGAAAAACATTGTCTGTTCAAACTCAGCACTAATTTAAAATAATCCTACAGAGTTCCCACATGTGGGAGTCACATCCTGCCTCTGGCAAAAATAGGATCATTTCAAAATGGGGCCAAACTTTAAGGTCTCATCTCCATGACCCTGTAACAGTCCCTTGAATAGCAAACCAGAAGCTTCTGAAGTGCGTTAGGACATCCTTAAGGTAAAAAAATAAATTGGGCCTTCGATGTCAAGTAATCCCAAAGCATAACTTTACAGCCAGTGAAGTGCTTTTGAAGTTCAAACAATGTTCTAAAACAAGAAATATGGAAGCCAATTTGCATATTGAAAAGTCCCACAACAGTGATGAGGTAGTAATAATCTATTTAAATATATCCGTGAAAGATAAACATTGCTTAGAAAACACATGAACGATGCTTTTTAAATGCAGCATTTTAAAGATGCCAACAAGTGAAACATTTTAGGAATCAAACTGGATCCTTCTGCCCTTCCCTTAAAATGTAAAGGGATTGTCCATTGAATTTTCCATCCAATCCTAAAGAGCATATCAACAGATATCTGTACATTCATTGAAGTCTCTCAGTTATTACTTGTTACTCAACAGATACACATAAGGC